CAACTATTCACAACTGATAATATCAATTTATGACTCAGGTTGTTTTAAATGATGATAAAAGTCCAGCACTTTATTCATCTCACAGAATCTATATATTTCCATCAGTTTTATTCAACATTACATGGCTAGTGGAGATCAATAAGAAATCAAATCGTGCTGTGATGAAAAGTCCGTCAAATGTCTACATAATTTCGGCTACACTGTCCGACTGAAACAGACGTGAATAAACCAAAGACCGTCCGACTCTACATAGATGGGATTTGTTGCGCTGCCTCATTCTGAATTCATCCAATAGTAGCAAGCTGGACAACATGAAAATCAGGAATTATCTCTCTCATTCTGCATCAACCCTCCATTTTAACAACAAAATAGGTACAACTGTAAGTGAACTGTTTTAATAAGCACACAGATATACAGACTCTCATGCATCAACCGTACAACCTTCCGTACATAGATATTGATCACTTCACATCCCTACTTCCAACAATTAATACATCCTGACATTTTACATATTCTTACTATCCGATCCATCTAATAGATGATCATGACAACAGAAGATTTGTCATCTTAGGAACTGTGATTGAAGTGCTGTCGATTCTCTCACTAAATTGTTGATTCCCTTCTTATTTCCAATCACTTAGTATTAAAGGTGTACATTTGCATGTACTTCTTTGGTACCACTTGGGTGTAGTTGCACTAGCATCGTCATCAAAATAACTATTCGTTTCCCTAAAATCACTTTCCTTAACAAAATCTGATGTATATATAAATATTTAGTACTAACTTGATAACTGAGTCTGATTTATGTCACAGCAATTGAACAGGATTCTGTTCAGTTATTAAATATATAAGAGGAAGGGATTGGTTGTTTTATACCGATAGCCAGATACTGTATATCGTTTTCATCATGATAACAGACAACCACAACGACATAGTTTTATGTACCCACCATGAGTAATTTTAACCATTAAACAACATACTCAATGAAGATGTAGATTTAATTACGTAGGAATTTTGGAAGGTCAGTAAATGCAATGGAACCTCCCATTAATTAATTAATTAATTAATTAATTAATTAATTAATTAATTAATTAATTAATTAATTACAGAATCAGATACATGTTTACGAAATACCACATAATTGCATTTATCATAATTCTACGATAAACATTCTGAGAAATAACAACCACATGAGAAATTTCTAAATTGTAGACAAAGATATTCATTACACATGAAAAAGTCACACGATAAATGGGATTGTGTGCAACAGTAGTTGAATATTTCGTCAGACACTGGATACTTATTAACAACAAACACTGTGATGTGTGCCACTTGTATGAACAGATTGAACAGAATCGGAAGTATGATTGTTACTGACAGAAGAGGAAGATGAATAGAAGAGAAGGAAAATCAGGATTGATGAGAGTGGCAACAGGAATGGAAGAACTTTTGAGTTCGTGAGAGACAATACAACGAATATGTGCAAACAGAAAATTCTCTTGAATCGTTTCAATAAGAGGACACAATCGATCAAATGACGTTCGTACATCAGTAATTTCTCTTGAAAATTTTCAAAATGAGAACAGAATCGAACAGTCTTACTCATTACAAATCCACACAAATTCATTCGCAACCACTCTATCAATTTTAAATCGAATTGCAACTAATTACGAGTAGATTTGTTCATAATATTCTGTTGAAATCAACATCACAATAATTGAGCCAAACATAATCGTTGTTTTAATGGTCCCATATCAAATGTTATTCATCCTCACACTACATCCACTCTTAGTCAATGTGAAAATTATGTTTTAAATGAGTCACATTCTGATCATATTTCAGATGTTATTGTAGCACATGTCGGCTGCTCTCACAAATCATATATGCAATGTAGAATCCATATAAAATATTATGATGAATCCATTGATATGTCAATTGTTCACGAAATAGTTTCGAATCCAGATTGCTCTGATGTTATGACGATCACATATTTGGAAAAATTAAATTAAGTCACCAATTCTAACAGTTCGAAATTCGTGGTTAGACTCGATGCCTGCAATGGTATAACTGAAGATCTACTTAAAATTAATGAGGCTGGCCCACGCACTGACTCAAAGTTTCATGCATACCTCAGAAAACTGAGGTCAAATGAAGATAAACTGTATGCCAATTTCATCTTGTCATGAATGTTTATTACGGTCACATTTGTACAAAGCATACTGTGTTTTCACAAATCTGTATGATGAACAGCCATCAGATCTCAGTATTTGTTTTAATAATCTACAAATGCCCAATGAATCTGATCAGATTCATCATGTCTATTGAGAGAAGGTGAATTTCACACACAAAATCGTAAACCTCATTTCAACAAATCAAACTTACGTAAATTGCAATACAGCCACCTATTGATCCTATTGAGTACATAGCACATACAAAGGCACCGTTCAAATGCTTAGGGGACGATGTGAGTCTACTTGCATCACATGCATTGTTAATCACAAGTCGAAATGCAAAATGTTTCTCATTATACACTAACACAATTTCCTATTCATTAATTTCGTTGCGACTACACTGTTGAATCGAGAAACAGACGGGATAGTAGAATAAATAGTAATAGCTTATTATGGTAATTATATAAATGATGGTTAATACACAACGATAATTTGCATCAACTCTATTGGATCCTTCATTATTGTCATCTGATATTAATGCTAGGTTGACTTTCTATATTATTTTGTGGATATCTACACACATCATCGACTATCATACAACCGTTCCACTCTTATTATTACAACATAATCTACCAACACTAACAGCACTAATGTTTCTAACATTATCACTAATACTACCAACACAACTACCACAACGACAATTCTAGGACTTCTCTAATATTTCACAATTATGTATTTCGATTATCATCTCTCTTGTCGAAATACATGTTTGGTGCGTGTTTTCGTTACTTATCAGTAGTGGTATCATTCACAGTAATATCCATCGACGCCTGTCTACAAAAATATAAAATCTCAACTATTCAGGTGTACAGATAATTTTCACACCGAACAAAATTCTGTATACGAACATCCATTTCAATGCTGACTTTCCTTTTCCAGCTCTCATTCTCTCTCTCAAAATACTCTTCTTTACAGAAACGCTGCAGTTCGTATTTTCCAAATAGTCGATATTCAGAAACAATCCAAATATATCACTATATCTCCATCTCCCACCCCACAACTTTACCACTAAACCAATATATTTCTCTTCGAATGCTCATCAGAATCATCGTTCATCTGAACATCACCGTTTCATTTTAACATGTCATTCAACATTTATCTAGTTCATCATCCTCACATCATGATAACAGTAATGGGCAAATTACTGAAATCGTTTATGAGAAACATGGTATGTCAGATTGTACACTTCAGAAGTGAACTCTCCGAAAACACAACTTTTCTCCAAACTAATCTTTGTAACTTTGTGATTTCCTAATGAGTGAATTCCGTCTAGTTTTAAATCACTCTTTATAATGAATCAATGATAATCGACTGATGTGTAACAATATGAATTATTGGTTTACCATTACATATTGATAACATGAACGTATATCCATTACGAAATGTTCATGCTAACCATCAACGTTAGTGCCTGAAATCACCGATCGTTTAAAAGTCACTAGCGTTTGGGTAATAGTGTTGATAATAAAAGTAGGCTAGTTCGAGTAAACATTCAGTGACAAGGAAAACACATTTCTCAATATTAAACCACCATTCATCGATTCAAATGTACATCTAAACAATCGTACGTCTACTGCTCAATCACTACACTATGATCATTCATTTACTATATTTACTTTTCCCGATTTGCCGCAAAATCAATCATCCTATTATCACATATTTCAAAATGACCTTTCAAATCATAGTTGATATTCCTGTATTATCGTCAAATATCGTCCACCACAATACAGTTATACAGTCACTACTATTTTTCACTCCACAGGTTTGTAGATAAATACGAAGTACTTATTTTCATTAATTTGACACTGACGGAAATTTCCGTCACATTCCATTCTCTCATTCAAATTCAACAATCACACTGTTTACTTTAACTTCCAAGTCTAATATTAACCAAAAATGGATCATTGTAGTGTTGGATGAGGAAAGTCAATCAGAAGTAGCCTAATGAGATGGTCAATTGATGTCAATCAGAAGTGACCTAAAGGACAAGTGTATTTCATTGAGTTGAGTAGGAAATGAATCAATTTCCTAATGATTATTGTGGTATTTATATGAATTAGTATTTGTTCATTTTATTCGGTTATCCAACACACTTTCTCACTCACGTCATTAAATCTACCAGAAACCAACATCCTTGACATACTTCTCATGATATATTTCAATAGTTTCATGATTATCTGAATCACTGTTTACTCTCTTAAATTACATATTGGTGACATTTAACAAATCAGCGTATTCGAAAACTAGCTCACTTATGACAACTAATCAGAAAATAATCCAATAGCCGAATTAATAATTCAAATAAAGCTATACCACCATGGATATCCTGGAAGCACTGGAGGGATGTTTCGTCGTTTTATTGGACTCTTCACCAGTGGGCGTCCAGTTTCACTCCAGAGGGATTCGAACACAGATCCTATCGGTCTTGCTCGATCACGCTTAACCTCTAGACCACTGAGTCAGCATCAAACTCTGATAATGTCTTATTTCAACCAATCCACAAAATTGTGTGTATAGGTCTAGAGATAATGCGTACTCGAGCGAGACAGATAGGTCCTGGGTTTGAGTTCCGCGGGAGAGAACGTGGATGAGCACTGATGAGAAGTATCATACTGGAACGAAACAGCCGTTCAGTGCTTCCACATTTTCCATGGTGGTCAAGCATTAATTGACTCATGAATTCAACCACTAAACAATTATATATAAATAATATATGTATATTTATTATATACATTATATATTTAGTTCTTATTTCGTAATATTTTCACATCATTTATTCTTTTTGTCTGATTCGACACATGTGTGATTTTTGCCACCAAGTGATGGACGTAATGTTTCCAAAAAGCATTTCCAAGTGTCAGCCAAACGTGTGTATAAATTGGCCCTGCAAAGAGACGCAATTATCGAATTAATATTTATTAAATAAATGACTGAACGCATTTGTTCATTTAATCAAATCATGCTGATGCTTGTAAATAAGATCATCTCAGCAACAACTCCATGACCAGTAATGAAAACTCAACATTATTCTCCATAAATGCATATGGAATGTTTATTTTCAAGACACAAATAAAGGTCATCTGAATAACGAAATAACAGATAGTGATATACCAACCAATACGAAACACACGAATCTGTAAGCATTTATGTGTATTATGTAAATTACTAAGTGACAATCATCTCTTATTAATGTGATCCAAGAACATGATATATATGAACGATAAATTATTTTCCATAACGTCATCATTTGGTTCTACTGTTAGAAATCCACAATGAGGTATGCACTATCTTGACAATCATAAGATAACAAATATCAATTCGATTGGTTGTGTCTCATAATAATTTCAGTAATAAATGATTTAGAATTGTAGAGTCACATCCAACTTACCACGTATCCAATATAAGAAGTCTTAAACAAGAATTTGTCAACGACATTGATTATTTATGCATATTTAAATGAATAGTAGCAAATCACAATATCTACCAAAAACAAAGTTAACATTGTTGGATAAGAAATGGTATTCATGTTCGTAGAACTCACTATATAACTCTTCAAGGTGACTAGTGACTTCAAGTTCGAATTTTACCTACCAACCTCACACGCATGATACCAATATCGTCTACCAACTGATGAGTACTTCGCCACAAATCTGATCCTCATTTGTGGACGATGTTGCACATACCACAATTATAACCTTCGACGTGAGAGAGAGAGACAGAGAGAGAGATTGGAAGATGCCTAATTTCTGTGATCTATACTAAAACTTGTAAACTTATTGGAAACAACACTGTATAACTGAATGCTAGATTTCGTCCGTGGTAAATTTCTGTCTGAACGCTCCTGAGCAATAGCATATCACCCTTATCAAGCAATTGACGATAATCAAACGAATTTCAAACTCAGCTGTGAAACATAGTCCACAAATCGTCAATCTTAACAATCACATAAATTGACAAATGAAAATAAACCTAATAAGTCAATATTTACTGACCATCGCTAAATTCACATTGCGATAACAAATGACATCATCGATTAACAAATGAAACAAAGAGGATTTCTACCCCAACTATTCAAGAATATCTCAGTCAATACAATATTCATATTAGCATGTAATTAGCAAGTTAATTGTTCTCGGAAAATAAAGTCAAACAAAATAGTAAACTAGTGAATCCAATTCTCCCATATTTTGTGTCCCATACACTCTGAGACAGTAGAACACATTAATAAATAGTATGTCTAAAATGAACACTTCCTGAACAGTCACACATTCAAAGAAGGAAGGACAAATGGGCCAGAGAATATATCAGGTGAATTAATGACATTAACAAAATAATTATTATGCTTACTCCACATCAAAGATCACTAACAAAATCATTGACATTACGAAAATCAACATCGATAGTTTGTGTTGTAATGTTTTGATTAGAATGGAACAGAGCAAATCTATTCATTGATGTTAAATTATTGATAGTCAGTATATCTATTGTAGACTTGAATGAAAAATAAACAACCATTACTACCTACAATGCTTCAATATCATGAGTAGTTATTATCAATATGATGGATGTGATCAACTTACACACTTACTTCTTACAGAATATGTTTCATTCATATCCTCTAATGCTAAAACCTTGAAAACTGTTTCAACTCATCTGTGAGAAACACAGAGATACACACTACTCAGACTGTTTCTCATAATGTCACCTTACTGAAGGCAAATATGCCATAAGATATCATGCAAACAGTTTATCGTATAAGATTTCTGAACACAAAATTATTTGCACTAAACATTGTTGCGACTATTCCTGTTTCCATTCTCTGTTTGATTCATTTAGTAACTGTCACTCATGAGTAACATTTCACATTATTCTGTTCCACTCACCTCCTTTTCCTAAAACAACAACAACAACAACAACAATAAATGGTAATATCGTGTGATGCTAATTGATGCTAAGTCATAACATATTCTTCGTAATTTTATCAATAATGTGAAGTAGGAGAAGAAGGAGAAGAAGGCGTCACTTCACCTCACATAGGACACAAATATAACAATGTTTCAATATTATCAATATTCAAATCAACTCTCATAAACATTGAATTAACTGAATTTCTGGCTCTCATACATAGTTCAGTTTACTTACTGGTGATTCATCTGAATCAATAACCCTATTCTTGTTATTATCACACAATGTCAATCATCGTTCAATCGGAAACTTATCTAATTCCAGACAGTGTCAACACGCCTTCACACCATTCTCTAATTCCCTCACATATACAATGCCAAATATCACTGCTTCTCTGTCACTAAACCAGTATGAGTAAAACTAACCATTTTATAAATTATTAACACTTCAATAACCGTAGTACGCATATCATGACAGATTTTAACTGAACAGATGAGCTTGAATTCCCAACTGATATCTCAATTGAAAGTAGATCAGATTCCTCCATTCAGCAAGCCAAATTACTGTCATTATATCAATGTGTCACAAGAATTTCAGTCGAAATTCAATAACCTACGTGCTAGTTCGTACAACACAGAAATTAGATAGTGATTCAGAAAGAATTCTATTTCACGATCAACTGAACACAAAACACTAATCATTCCATCACTGTACAACAATTACATAGTCACTAACTCACCAGTCGCCTCTTCTACTAACAAAATTGAAATCAATGATACAATACCAATTAACATATCAATTCAATCTGATACCAAACCGAATTTCAGCTACATTAATACTTCTTCAATAATGGAATGAGTGAAAGACATGTTATGACTGAACATATAGTTTGCTTAGTGTAAATAATGTATTTAACTAACAAAACGCTTTATTTACCTTCAATTCACGTGTCATGCAATTCGATAATAATTTGATGATAATCGAATCGATTAATCACATTTAATTATTGCATATATAGCGGGAACATATGGAAGTGAAAACAACTGTTAACCAACATCTAAGTCGCAGTCTTCAATACGAATGTCAAGACAGTTCTACTGTATGGAACTGATAATTCGAGAACTATTACAACCATCATCAAAAACACACAACTATTTATAAACAATTGTCTAGGCAACGTACTCAATGTTCAATGGCCGGATACCATCAGCAACACACTACTGTGGGAGATAACATAAAAGCTTCCAGATCTACAGAAGTTTAGAAAATACGATGAAGGTGGATAGGACATATTTTACAGAAAACATTAAACCACATCACGAAGCAAGCGCTTACCTGGATTCCTGAAGAGAATCGAAAAACAGGAAGATCAAAGAACACATGGAGTAGAGAATTGGAGGCAGACATGAAACAGTGAATAGAAACTGGAAACAACTGGAAAGCATTACCCAGGACAGAATTCGATGGAGAATACTGGTGTGCGACTAACGCTCCTCGACGCGGACAACAGGCGTAAGTAAATAAGTATATAACGGCAGAAAGATTGAATAAACACGAAAGTGTTTGCTTCATTGCTGTTAATTCCTACTACTAAAATTCATCTAACAAAACAATCATAATGTTCCACTAATCAGACATTCAATTATACAACTCGTCACTCTCAATTGTAAACTGAGAGATATCACAGATACCCAGTCAAGCAATCTCAAATAATGAACACTTTATTGGAAATAACTTCAGCTTTCACTTATAATCCACTGTTATATAATTAATATTTAATTTCGGGCATCCTCAACTGAATCAACTCCAGTGTCAAGAGGTGTCAGCTCTTGTTAATGCATCTTATACTCTTTCAAATTTTATCTGGCTAATCGCATCTCAACAAACAACTCAACACTATGCACCAATAGAATTCACTCCAATTACGTAATAAGAAGGGAAATTAGATATTGAATTATATCGTCACCAGGACAAGTGATCTAATTAATTAAATCACATACACGGAGTTCTTTCTAAATGATACATAATCAATCTGTAATCTACTAATTCATTGAATCAATCTTGGTGCTTATCACTGAATGTATGTTAATATCTTATTAACGTCACCTTGAACAGTAGTCAAGATTCAAGAGAGAACAAGTACACATAATATTAGATGTATGCTCATGTGAAAAATTTCGAAATCAATTGTCTATCATTCGAAGTGATTTATTTTTGTGAAACTTTGACTTGTTTCCGCTTTTGTGTTATCGCTATTTCAATTTCATGAAATGATTGGAACAGTTTGCGAATTCCCATTTCACATGGACGTGTTCGTTGGGAGTTTGTTTGCAAGCAGTGAAATAATAATAATAATAGTAATGATAATTGGATAGTCAAAATATTTAAGGCCAAGGTAACGATAACGATAAGACGTACTTCTTTTGTAAGCATAGTTCTGGCTTAAGCTCCTGGATGGTAAGTGATTCGGCTATTTTTAAAAGTTGGATGCAAAGAAATCTGGGTAGATTTGAACGAATCATATAAACAACCTTAAATTCTTTTTTTTGGATCTGTGGAATGGGTACAGTCGATTAGGTGTTCAAGTATAGAACTCCTAACTGCTTTCCTTTCCCCCTTATAGAACCAAGCTGGAATATGTTCCCGTATCCGAGTTGAAAGCGAGCGCTGGTTACGGCCAATGTACCTTGCTCCACAAGAGCAGGTGAACTGGTAGATGCACATGGAGGCGACCAGACGCAGAAGCTTGTCTTTTATGGACACAGAAAATAAGTTCCTACTCGTGAAGGTTATTCGCAATTTAGCTGCATTAAATGTTCTTCTAATAGTTGTTGTTAGACGATTTTTGATTACTTCTGTTGTTCGATCACCTTTAAATTCCAGACTTATATAAAGGTTTTTCTTCGTAACGGAGTAACTAGGTTTCTTGTCACAACTACTTCTATTCATATTCTTTTCTATGAATCGTTCTGGGTAGACATTTTCCGTCAGGGTTTTCTTGAAGAATTCAAGTTCTTCGTTAATGCATTCCTTACTGCATATCTGACGTATTCGATAACATAAAGAGTGGATGAGATTTCTCTTTCTACTTAACGGAACCCAGCTATAGAAGTTGGTTAGCTGTCCATTCCATGTTTGTTTTCTAAAGATGAATCTTTTTAAAGAACCATTACTCCTTCTCATCAGATGTACATCGAGTTAAAGGTGTTTAAAATATCCTCTAAATCAATATTATTGTCACAAACGATAAACGTGTCGTCCATATATCTGACGTATAGGTGAAATTGACTGATAATTGAGCTTAGTTGGTTGTTTTCTAGTTTTGCCATGAAACAATCTGCTAAAATCGGATCCAATGGAGACCCCATTGCGATCCCATCCCTCTGTCTATATATTTCATTATTGAAACTAAACTGGACATTAAAAGTACAGCGTAACAATAGTTCTTTCAAGTGTTCAGTCGGCAAACCTAGATCTATGTTGTTGGAATCAATAAACTCGCATATATAACATATCGTTTCGGTTAAAGGTACGCTAGTGAACAAGAAGTTAACGTCAAGCGATAACATGTGTTTTCTGGAAGTATTAACGTCGTTAATACGATCAATAAATTGAAAAGTATCATGAATAGAAAATTTAGATACTTGCCTTCTAACCGGTTCCAATATTTCCGCTAGTCATTTGGCGATTCTGTGGTATGGTGAATCCGACATATACAAAATAGGCCGTAACGGTAAACCCGGCTGATGTAATTTCGGTAGTCCATATAAGCGCGGGATGATTGAATCCATCGGATGTATGTGATTATATAAATCTTGGGTTATTACGATTGTACAGCTTGATAATAAATTCGCTGAAAAGAGATCCTTTCGCTGAAATTTGTGTTTTTATTTTAATGTTTAAATGGGAAATATCTGTCAATTCGATGATAACTTGATGATAATCGAATCGATTAATCACATTTAATTCTTGCATATGGAAGTGAGAACAACCATCAACCAACACCATAGTCACAATCCTCAACACGAGAGCCAACACAGTTGGATTAGTTGAACGTACCTGAAATTTCGAGAATGAACATGACCATCATCAAAAATGTACAAGTATTCATAAACAATTATCTACTCAAGATACTCAATAATCAGTGGCCAAATACCATCAGCAACACACTACTGTGGGAGTTAACATAACAGCTTCCAGATCTACAGAAGTTTAGAAAATACGATGAAGGTGGATAGGACATATTTTACAGAAAACATTAAACCACATCACGAAGCAAGCGCTTATCTGGAATCCTGAAGAGAATCGAAAAACAGGAAGATCAAAGAACACATGGAGTAGAGAATTGGAGGCAGACATGAAACAGTGAATAGAAACTGGAAACAACTGGAAAGCATTACCCAGGACAGAATTCGATGGAGAATACTGGTGTGCGACTAACGCTCCTCGACGCGGACAACAGGCGTAAGTAAATAAGTATATAACGGCAGAAAGATTGAATGAACACGAAAGTGGTTGCTTCATTGCTGTTAATTCCTACTACTAAAATTCATCTAACAAAACACTCATAATGTTCCACTAAACAGACATTCAATTATACAACTCGTCACTCCCAACTGTAAACTGAGAGATATCACAGATACCCAGTCAAGCAATCTCGAATAATGAACACTTTATTGGAAATAACTTCAGCTTTCACTTATAATCCACTGTTATATAATTAATATCAATTCGTGAAACATATTTCATTTTGGGCATCCTCAATTGAATCAACACCAGTGTCAAGAGGTGTCAGCTCTTGTTAATGCATTTTATACTCTTTCAAATTTTATCCGGCTAATCGCATCTCAACAAACAACTCAACACTATGCACCAATAGAATTCACTCCAATTACGTAATAAGAAGGGAAATTAGATATTGAATTATATCATCACCACGACAAGTGATCTAATTAATTAAATCACTTACACGGAGTTCTTTCTAAATGACAACTAATCAATCTATAATCTACTAATTCACTGAGTCAATCCTGGTGCTTATCATTCAATAAAACTATTGTATGTAACCAACTCATTAAATATTAGTTCGGAATTGTGGTCACAAATCAGATACTTTACTTACTTACTTACTTACTTACTTACTTACGCCTGTTACCCCCAATGGAGCATAGGCCGCTGACCAGCATTCTCCAACCCACTCTGTCCTGGGCCTTCTTTTCTAGTTCCATCCAATTCTTGTTCATTTTTCTCATGTCTATCTCCATTTCTCGGCGTAATGTGTTCTTTGGTCTTCCTCTTTTCCTTTGGCCTTCAGGACTCCATGTGAGGGCTTGTCTTGTGACGCAGTTCGGTGCTTTCCTCAATGTGTGTCCTATCCACTTCCAGCGCTTCTTCCTGATTTCTTCCTCCGCTGTGATCTGGTTTGTTCTCTCCCACAGTACGTTGTTGCTGATAGTGTCCGGTCAATGGATCTGAAGTATTTTGCGTAGACAATTGTTAATAAACACCTGTATTTTCTGGATGATGGCTTTTGTAGTTCTCCAGGTTTCTGCCCCATACAGTAGAACTATTTTGACACTTGTATTGAAAATCCTGACTTTGGTTTTGGTTGACAGTTGCTTTGAGTTCCAGATGTTCCTCAGTTGTAAATATGCTGCTCTTGCTTTGCCGATCCGCGCCTTCACATCTGCATCAGATCCACCCTGTTCATCAATGATGCTGTCCAGATATGCAAAGGTTTCTACATCTTTCAAATCTTCTCCGTCAATTGAGATTGGGTTGGTGCATGCTGTGT